CAAACATGCAACAAAAGGCATAACACGTTTCTTCATATACCAGATAAATCCCAGAAGGATAATGAGGCTTCAAATATATATATCAATGTTTTAATTTTCTAAAATTATCAAGTAAAGACAGGTACAAGGAAGCGAAGGCTAAACGAATATGTATCAACTGTCTACGTTCTCCTTCCCATCAGGCCAAGGATTGCAGATCATCGACATGTCAAACATGCAACAAAAGGCATAACAGGTTTCTTCATATACCAGATAAATCCCAGAAGAATAATGAGGCTTCGAATATCTCCAACCAGATAAGCAACTCTAGTGCGACAACTTTAAATCATCATATCACTCAAGATAAGTATCAAGTCATGTTATCGACAGCAATAATCAACGCATTTGATCAACAGGGTAACTCACATATGTGCAGAATATTGTTAGATTCAGGGTCGCAACCTAATATTATTACTACAAAATTTGCAAACAAATTGAACCTCACACAAAGACAGCAAATATGTCCGTAACAGGAATAAACCATTCACAAACGCATTCACGTCATACAGTCAAAGTACGCATAAAATCAATTCACACCTCATTCGCACAAGACATTGAATGTTACGTATTGGACTCCATTACTTAAAATATACCTCAAGTTTATATTAATATTAACAATTTTAATATTCCAAGCAACATACGACTACCAGACCTGTATTTTCATGTACCATTAAATAGATATCCTTGTAGGCGCAGAGCTATTCTGGTCACTGATGTGCGTAGGACAAATACAAAAGAGCAAAAATCAGCCCGTATTATAGAAGACACAATTAGGATGGATTGTCGTCGGTAGAGTAGATTGTTATGGTTCTACAAAATCTAAAGTGTGTACCTTATCTACTAACCAACAGATCAATCAGATACTAACCAAGTTTTGGGACACGGAACACATTCCTAGCGAGAATTTTTTCAATCCCGAGGAAAGAACTTGTATAGAACATTTTGTAACCACTACTACAAGGAATAAAGAAGGTCGCTTGGTGGTGCAAATGCCGATCAAGGAAATGAAGTTACAAGAGCTAGGTGAGTTCCGCACCATGGCATTGAACAGATTTCAGTCTATGGAACGCAAATTAGAAAGACAGCCGTTACTTAAAAAACAGTATGTACAATTCATGTCCAAATATATAGAACTAAGTCATATGAAACGTATCAACGAGCAAGCATTGAACGACCGTTCACGTTATTTTATACCGCATCACGCCGTGTTAAAGGATAACAGTTTGACAACAAAGTTGCGCGTCGTTTTTGACGCTTCGTGTAAAACAAGTACAAAAATATCTTTGAATAATTGCCTGATGGTGGGGCCCACCTTACAACAAGATTTGTTTTCAATCCTCTTAAGATTTCGCACATTTTTGTACGTAATTACAGCTGATGTAACTCAAATGTATTGGCAGGTGAGAATAGCTCAAACACAGACAGCGTTTCAGACAATATTTTGGAGAAGCAATCCAACAGAAGAGATAACCACTTTCAAATTACAAACCGTTACCCACAGCACAGCATGTGCATCATTTCAGGCGGTAAGGTTCATGCAAGAATTAGCTAAGATAAACACATCAAGCTACCCAACAGGATCAGCAACAGTCAACAATGATTTCTATGTTGACAACTATTATCGGGAGCAGATACTAAATCAGAAATAAGAAAGATACGCGACGAAACCATTAAAGTACTACAATAAGGCGGATTCCAGCTTAGGAAATGGGCATCCAATCTTCCCAAAGTTCTGGACGATTTAAGTCACACCGATATTAATACGCCTGTTCACTTTATTAACAAGAGTGAAGAAATATGCACATTGGGCATGCATTGGAACATAGTCAACGATGAATTCCAGTCCAACAATATTAATATAGTTAACGTTCGTAAAGTAACTAAACGAAGCATGTTATCAGCACTGTCTAAAATATTTAACCCATTAGGATTAGTGGGATCCGTAACACTCATAGTCAAGGTAATAATACAAAGGGTTTGGCAATTGAACTTGACATGGGACGAAACTGTTCCTATGGACATACATACAGCATGGTTACAATACGAGTCTCAATTAAACATAATCAGCAGATTTAAGATATACGATATGCGAGGACGCATCCAACATTCAATTGCACGGTTTCTTGGATGCAAGTGAAAAGGCCTACGGAGCTTGCGTATATTTCAGAGTTACTAAGGGTCATAGTCAAATTCAAACACGATTGTTGTGCTCAAAATCTCGAGTCGCATCTTTAAAAGTGATATCATTACCACGACTCGAACTATGTGGAGCCTTACTATTAGCGCAGTTGATGGACAAGGTATTAAAGGCATTGTGTTTTAATCCGGAAGGAATATTTTATTGGACAGATTCAACTATAGTGCTGCAATGGATAAAGGCCACCGATAGAAAATAGAACACTTTTATTTCCAACAAAATAGGCAATATTCAACAATTATCACATCCAGATCGTTGGCATCATGTATCAACAAAATACAATCCAGCGGACTATATATTTAGAGGATCCCTTCCTTCGGTATTAATCGATTCTGAGCTTTGATGGTCAGGGCCTGCATGGCTGCATGAAGAGCATCAGAGGTGGGATACAGATTTCCCATTGATATCACCAGAAGATCTACCAGAGCAGAAACGAACTGCTAAAATCATTACGGTAGAGCAAGACAATCAAGATTTATTCACAAGATTCTCTTTATTAAGCAAACTGATCAAAATTAGTACACTGTGTCGGAGATTCATTCATAATACAAGACACAAAGCAGAGAAATTACCGGGCGTATAACCACACAAGAATTAAAGGATGCTAATCTACATCTAGTGAAGATCATTTGAGAGGCGGCCTTTAAAGAGGATCTACTAGTCTTGAGGTCAAAGGGTCGTGTACTACGAAAAAGCAATTTATCCAGCCTATCTCCATTCATCGACAAACAAAATACTATAAGAGTAGGCGGGCGTCTTCAAAACGCAACAGTAACGCCTGACGCAAAACACCCAATACTATTACTAGCTAATCATGCCTTTACACGCCTGGTCATAGCACACGAGCATCATAGGCATCTTTATGCAGGGGCCCAAACTACATTAACAGCTATACGCACCACATACTGGCCACTAGCCGCACGTGATAGCGTTAAAAATATGTTAAAAATTGTATTACTTGTTTTAAGGCTGCTCCACGCACATCTGAAGCAATCATGAGTCAATTGCCGTCATATAGAGTAACGCCATCTAAACTGTTTGCATGCAGTGGTGTCGATTATGCTGGCCCATTTAATATAAAGTCTGGACAACTTCGTAACGCAAAAATAGTAAAGATCTACATTGCCATATTCATATATTTAGCCACAAAGGCAGTTCATATAGAGCTGGCAGCATTTCCACTCTGAAGCATTTTTAAACGCTCTTAAACGATTTATCGCTCGTCGAGGAAAGGTATCACGTATATACTCAGATAATGGAACAAATTTCCAAGAAGCATGTAATAAATTATAGGAATTTTATCAAATGCTGCACAACGAACGTCATCAAGAGCAAGTAGACAACGTATTAAAAGAAGATCTAATCGAATGGCATTTCATACGTCCTCATGCCTCTCACTTCGGAGACATTTGGGAGGCGGTCATAAAGTCGACAAAATTTCATTTGAAACGCATTATCGCGGACGTTGTATTGACTTTCGAGGAAATGTACACTGTGTTAACTCAGGTCGAAACCGTCATGAATTCGCGGCCTCTCACTCCTCTTTCCAACGATCCCAATAATCTTTCCTATTTATCACCTGGGCACTTTCTAGTTGGAGACACTTTTAACTCTTTTCCACAGCAGAATTTAACAAACTTGCCAATCAATCGACTATCACGTTGGCAACATATTAATCAAATATATCAGCACTTCTGGAAGCGCTGGACTAAAGAATACTTACAGCAATTACAACAAAGAACCTGTTCCGGCACGTGAATGTTTTATGATATTATTTGCCACATACGGTTCAAATCTTATCCGCGAAAACATGCAAAAACCCACATTCCACGACCTCTTTCTATTCAAAATCACGTTCGTCGGATTGGTCGAAATGTCGCGCGACCTGCGAATATCCAATCATCGCGGACCTAAATCGATGGTTCATCGATACCAGGCCAATTTTAGCGCCAGTACGGGAGCGGATCTCGAGAGAGAATCTGTGAAAATAAAGACACAGTTCAAAACTAAGAATAATTGGCTCGCTACCTTACTCCGCTATTCCTTTCCGATACGTTCAGTAAGAAACAATGGTCCTTCGAGCCGGATTGTTAAAACTAGTGCTACGTCGCGGAGTAAGTGAGTAAAAAAAAGGAGGGGCTCGACCTTAAAAGGGCCCACTAAGATGAAATGTGTAAGACAGAAAAGTGAGGGTGTTATCTGTGCAATCTGTGGCCGCAGCGTTTCGGAGCATCAGATCTCTCACTCGATTACTGAAGCAAATTGTTACCGCGCAAGCTTGTTCACTCTCTCGAGACGGCGACATATCGCCAGCCAAATCGCGCTCGTACTCGTGTTATCTTTTTAATTTTCTCACAGAACTGTTACGAGAATTAGTGCAAAACGAGTGAATATTGCTCGCAATCACTATATCTAACATTTGAAAAGTGTGCTGTCTTATTCGCACTTAATCACGCGTTCGCGTCGGCGAGCGTTCCGTCGGACGATGGCGACAGTGCCGCGCCATTCGTTCCTCGCTCTTGACAAATGTTACGGTGTTATTTATGAATAAACCGATGAGTCATTACTGCTAATCGACTTAAACAAACGAAGTGAAAATAGTGGTTTTGCTTCATAGCTTCATTCGTTCAGTTGGACAGCTATCCGCTCCGAAATTTGTGCGCCTGTTCTGTCGCGCATAAATAAAAAAAAAAAAAAAAAAAAAAAATTTTTTTTTTCTCTTTTTTTTTATCACTTATAACGGTGTGTTATTTCCTTGGTCACAATGTCAGATAATCTACTTTCGCTCCTAGTGGACCAATCTAATCAGCTCGTTCGAATCAAAAGGATCTTGATTAATTTCAAGAAACTTTCCAAGACCAACGTTACACTTCCAAAAATCAAAGGTCGATTGGCTGACTTGAAGGGGTACTGGGAAAAGGTTCAACTCCTTCATACCAGAATTTCGCTTGCCGCCACCAAGGAGGAAATGGAAAGTCTACCCTACTTTATCAACAACGAGTACGATGATGCTGAAGAAAACTACTACGAGGCAGCTGATTATTTCAACGATGCGATAAGTAGATTTGTAAAAGTAGAGCCCCCTCAGGGTCTTAATAGTACCGAAATCTCTTTCCGCGATGCGCCTCACAGTTTTGCGTTACAACTTCCGCGTATTTCGCTTCCGAAATTCTCAGGTATCCAAGTAGAATGGGAACGTTTTCGAAATACATTTGAATCGCTTGTAGCAAATCAAGATTCACTCACAAACACGCAAAAGTTTCACTATTTAAAATCAAGTGTTGCGGGAGACGCTGCTCAGTTGATAGCAAATCTGAGAATTTCCGAAACAAATTACGAATTTGCGTGGCAATTATTATTAGCAGAATACGACGATAAACAAGCATTAGTGTGTGCTCACCTTCATTCGTTCATTAGTTTGCCGAACATAAAAACGGAAAATGTTACCGATTTGAAAAGACTACGCGATACAGTGTCCTCATCGATCGCGGCTTTAAAAAATCAAAATCGTCCCGTTGAGCAATGGGATGACTTGCTCGTATTCCTCATCGTTCAGAAATTCAGTCCGCGCACAAGAAATGAATGGAATTTGAGACGTAGCATGTCTTCTGAGCTTCCGACGTACAAAGATATTAACGACTTTATGACATTACGTATACGAGGCTTGACTGATTTATCGGATATAAATAATAGCGTGGCCAATTCACGTAATCAATATAAACATAAATCCTCAGTTAACAGCATATCCGTAGTAAAATGCGAACATTGCGCTGCTAATCATTATATACATCAATGTAAAGAATTTCGTTCAAAATCTATTAGCGAACGAAATAGCCTCGCAAGACAGCATAAATTATGTTTTAATTGTTTGAAATCCGGGCATTTTACTTCGAAATGTTTAAGTACGACGCGATGCAAACACTGTAGTCGCATGCATCATTCATTATTGCATGGCAAAACGCGTGAAGCTCCCCTCGATTCTGATTCGCAAAAGTCAGTTTCTTCCGCCGGTACTCAAATACCGCACGGCGAACACACCGTCACGGAAACACATGCCGTCGCGAATGTTCAAACGGTACAGACGACTCAAATTTCAACGCCCCCGCACATCCTCCTAGCAACAGCTTGGGTTGACCTTCATACTAACGAGGGTCGTAGATTTAGAGTTCGCGCGTTACTAGATCAAGGGTCTACGTACAGTTTTATTTCAAAGTCTTTATGTCAAAATATGCGTACTAAACGACATCAAGCTGATCTACAAATACGTTGCTTCGGAGAAAAATATACGGGTAAATCGAGATCACGCGTCACGCTAAATATGTCACCTTGTTCGCTCAAGACTCCCCTCTTTCCGCTAGTCGCGTACGTATACCAGAAAATTACGTCATACTCTGCTTCTCAGATTCAACCTCTCAAAAATTGGTCTCACTTACGAGATCTAACGCTTGCGGATCCAAACCCGTCAAGCAAAGATCCCATTCATTTGTTAATAGGAGCAGACCTCTACGGCTTGTTATTATTAAATGATTTAAGGCAAGGTCCGTTAGGTACCCCGACTGCTCAGAATACAGTTCTCGGATGGGTATTATCAGGGCCCACAACAAGTACTGAACACTCACCGGAAAACGCTTCCGTATTACATTGCAAATCGTCGCTTAATACCAATCTTATTCTTCTCAAGTTTTGGCAGGATGAGGAAGTCCCTCATACTATTCCTCTTACCGCCGAAGAAACAAAATGTGAAGAACATTTTAAAAACACGCATACACGCACTCCCGACGGTAGATATGTCGTTCGTCTACCTTTCAAGGAGAAGCCTCCGATAAACATTGGCGAATCTTTGTCAATAGCTCGTTCATTGTATAATCGTAATGAAAAACAATCACAAAACAAGCGAGATGTAAGTACACAATATAATGATTTCTTGCGAGAATACGAGTTCCTTGGGCACATAAAGCAGGTCGACGATAAAGAGAAAAACATAGCAAATCCCGTGTATATTCCGCATCACGCTATATTACGCAATCCAGCCTTACGACAAAATTGCGCGTTGTATTTAATGCATCGTGTAAAACGCGAGGCGGTACATCTTTAAATGATCATTTGTTGATCGGTCCGAAATTACAGGCGGATCCCGCGGCATTAATTTTACGATGGCGTCAATGGTGTTATGTTTATATGACCGATATACAAAAAATGTTCCGTCAAATTCTAGTCGATCCGATCGATACTGACTTCCAACGCATTCTTTGGCGACCTAACATTGATTCGCCGATAAAATCGTTCCGACTGCTTACCGTAACATACGGTCTCGCCTCCTCGCCATATTTAGCTTTACGCGTGCTCCTACAACTCGCTAAAGATGAAGGCTGTTCGTTCCCCAAAGCTGTTTCAATATTAAAAAATTCGCTTTATGTTGATGACATGCTGTTCGGCGATGACGACATGCAAGGACTACGTGAAGCACGTGATCAGTTAATAGAATTATTGCGACGCGGAGGATTTCGGCTTAGTAAATGGACTGCAATTCCACCGAACTCTTGAAAGACCTTTCCACCGTACAACAAAATTCAATTGACAATTTGTTGATAAAAAACGATAATCTTAAAGTTCTCGGTTTATCATGGTCGTCCAAAGAAGATTTATTTTACTTCGTGATCTCTCCCTCTCCGCAAAGGGACTTAACTAAACGCTCTATACTCTCAATTGTCGCTAAATTATACGACCCTCTCGGTTGGGCATCTCCTATCATTATTACGACCAAAATCCTCTTGCAAGAACTTTGGCTGCTCAAGAGTGATTGGGATGATCCAGTTCCCCCAAATTTAAAACAACGATGGCTCGATTATTATTCCGATTTACCTCAGTTAAAATCTGCTCGCATCCCAGATGGACTGGGTGTTCAAAAGATAATCTCGGAATGGAAGTACACGGATTTGCCGATGCGTCCAATCGCGCCTACGCGGCAGTAGTATATTTACGAGTTCTTCATTCGCTTGACAGTTTTCAAATAAGTTTGCTCGCGGCAAAGACCAAAGTCGCTCCGATCAAATCTGTAAGTATTCCGCGACTCGAACTTAACGCGATCGTGCTTCTTTGTCGCTTGATGAAATGGATAATAAATTCGTTAAATCTGTTTCACATTCCACTTTATGGATGGACAGACTCCACAATCGCCCTGGCGTGGCTCAAACAACACCCGTCGAAATGGCAAACCTATGTCGCAAATCGAGTCTCCGAAGTTCAAACGACTCTTCCTACTATTCGTTGGAATCACGTGTCATCTAAACATAATCCGGCTGATTGCGCCTCCCGGGGTATCTCTGCATCAGAATTAGTGGCTCACAAACTCTGGTGGTCAGGCCCTTCATGGTTGCAAAAGCCTTCGACTGTCTGGCCCATACATGAGTCAACTCCTCTAGATCAATTTGCTATGAATCAGATGCAAACTGAGGCGCGCCTACGACCGTCTATCACATTGAATGTGATCCAGAATGGACGCTTCCTACTAGTTGCTCCAGTTGGACGAAGTTGATAAGAGTCACGGCTTACGTACGACGTTTTGTCAAAAATTTAAGAGAAAAAATTCGTTCACGCGCTCCTGTTCTCTCCTCTCTCTTAACGGTAGCTGAACTCCAAGATACGACTACGTTTTGGTTACGCCGAGTTCAACAATCGCATTTTTCAGCCGAATGGCATGCTCTGTCTAACGGTTCCTCAGTCAAACACTCTTCCGTCCTATATATGCTCGTTCCATTCATAGGGGAAGACCAACTAATCCGCCTCGGCGGGCGGTTAAAAAACGCCGCGCTGAGTTATAACGAACAGCACCCTGTCTTGCTTCCTAAACATTACATTACGAATTTACTCATCGATCAAGCCCACAAAGCTACCCTCCACGGAGGCACGCAAGTAACCTTGCGCGTCCTCCGACAAAGATACTGGATAATCGGTGCACGTAATTTGATAAAGGCTCACATCCGACAATGCGTCATTTGTGCACGTTATGCCGCTCTCTCTCCCACCCAGCTCATGGGTGATCTCCCGCTTGCTCGCGTAACACGCTCCTCTCCGTTCACGAACACCGGCGTAGACTACGCTGGACCGTTCCTAGTCACGCCACATGTGGGACGAGGACAAAAAACCACGAAATCTTATGTAGCCTTGTTCGTGTGTTTAGCTACAAAAGCTATCCACTTAGAAAATGTAGATGATTATTCTACCGAGAGCTTTCTAGCAGCTTTCCGCCGTTTTTCCAGTCGTCGCGGCCTTCCGTCGCATATGTTCAGTGACAACGGTACAAATTTTCAAGGCGCCGACCGCGAACTCTCGAAAAGCTTTTCGGTTCTAACTTCTGATCCAAAATTAAAGAATGTTTTGACAAACGATGGCATCACGTGGCACTTTATTCCCGCTTCTGCACCTCACTTCGGAGGTCTCTGGGAAGCCGGAGTAAAAAGCTTTAAAAGACATTTCCGCCGCGTAGCCGGATCTCGTACCCTGTCTAAAGCAGAATTCTCAACACTTCTCTGCTCAATTGAAGCTTGTTTGAATTCACGTCCAATCGCGGCCTTGAGTGACGATCCAAATGATTTTGCGTACCTGACCCCCGGTCATTTTCTTATAGGTAGACTTATTGTTTCAGTGCCGGAGGAATCCGTATTAGATATTGAAAACAACAGATTGTCTCGATGGCAATTCGTGAGGTCAATGCAGGAACAGATCTGGCGTTCCTGGACGCACGATTATTTGTTATCATTACAGGCGAGAAAAAAGTGGGCAGAGCCACAAAAGGATATCGCTGTCAACGAGTTAGTACTCTTAAAAAATCCGTTACTACCCCCATCTAAGTGGGCTCTGGCTCGTGTACAAGAAATACATCCGGGTCCCGACGATCGCGTAAGAGTAGTCACACTCAGAACTACCAATGCAGTATATAAACGTCCAATAGCGCAGATTTGTCGCCTGCCTGTACCGTTTGAGCGTAACGCAGCATCTACTAAATAAGTCTTTTTCTTTTCTTTTCTTCTTCTCCGTATCTCATAAGTAAGCCATAACGCTGTAAACTATATTCTTAAGTAATGTAGTCGTCTCATTTGAAAATTGTTCATTCCTATTGCTTTACATGTCAGATTAATGTTCACATAAATTTGCGAACAGATACTTTTGTACCGAATGCTACGATCTCAATATATTTAATCGTAGAGATCTGCTTTCGTATCGGTCAATACGAGGCGGGCGGTATGTTTCGGCACGTGAATGTTTCATGATATTATTTGCCACATACGGTTCAAATCTTATCCGCGAAAACATGCAAAACCCACATTCCACGACCTCTCTCTATTCAAAATCACGTTCGTCGGATTGGTCGAAATGTTGCGCGACCTGCGAATATCCAATCATCGCGGACCTAAATCGATGGTTCATCGATACCAGCCCATTCTAGCGCCAGTACGAAAGCGGATCTCGAGAGAGAACGGTGACAATAAAGACACAGTTCAAAACTAAGAATAATTGGCTCACTACCTTACTCCGCTATTCCTTTCCGATACGTTCAACAAGAAACAATATGCGTAAAAGGAGCAATAAATGTACCACTAGACATAAGTATTCGTAGAGATCGACTTGGCGACACAATGGCTTGTAATTTGACCTCGGCATAAACCCCCTGCCGCATTCTTGAACTTTAGGAAAGAAACCAATGCCCTACGCCGAACCAAAGATTTAGAAAGCGAAATATTATCTTTATCATTATAAGCTACAACTCAAACTATCAAAAGCTAGCTTTTGAATCTTTTACAGAATAACGTTGCACGTTTTTTTCAACAATAAAACCTCTCAATATTATCATAATGAATACCTAAGGAATTACAATCTCCACATTTTGTAATGGCTTCTAGAGCACGCAATTTAAACTTTAGTACAAATTATAATGATAAATATTAACGTTTTATAAATAAGCAATTCAGAAACTATTGTAAAAATTCCCATTCGACTATTAAGAATTATAATTATTCTGCGCCAACGAATCATCTTCGCTGATGGACCATCCTCTTCGCCCCTTCTTTGATGATGCAAACCGAATTCCTACAGAACCATAAACCTGTCAAAATCTAAGCACGCCGGTCCTCCGAAGGGTATATAAACCGCGGATTTTGCGTCCTGCGAGCACTCCGTGTTAACTTCTAAAATAGAGCATTTCGTATTACTATTTTCCAAAGTCTACACTTAGCCGATTACGGTTAATCTAGTTTTTGTGTCACTTAGTACTTAGATTTTTCCTGCGAATTCTTATGCTAGTTATCATTCTCGTTAACTCATCTGATAGTTTAAATTCGTAAACTCTAATTGTACGATTATAAGTCACGGACTTCGAAATTGTTCATAAATAAGGGAATAAAGAACTAAAAATAACATAAAATCAGTGCACGTCTGTTTTTCCAACTCCATCCTGAGACCGAGGTCCCCAGGAGAACTACAGCCTAAGCATAGTCACCAGAAACAACAGAGCAGATTTTCATCTCCGTGTGGAACCAAGTGAGAATTATCTTTTTAACCCTCAATCCAACTTTATAATTTCCTAATAACTAATTAATTAATACAATAAGGATGAACATATCCTTGTCGATGGCCAACCGAAAACGTAACCTTGTATGTAAGAAAAAGCGTACACGCCCTTCATTAATTAAGAAATATAGATCAATCGCGACTACTTTATCAAATTCTAAAGAGAGATTATCCCGAGATAAACAATTACCCGAGTCTCAAGGGGTAATCTCTCCTGACCTACCTCAAAGTTCTAGATCAATTGACAATTTTCAATATAAATAGAACCTTTATCTCTAGTCACACTTGAGGAGATTGATAATATAATTAACGAATTAGT